CTGAAGATGTTGATTACAAGGACCAACTCCAGCCACTTCTGCTCCACCACATTCAGCAAACCCCTGGTGGGTAGCAGGCTGCATGCCGAAGGGCACCCTCTCCCTGGGCTCATCCTCCTTTCCGTGCGCTCACACGTGCCGAGGACCAAGCACAGCTCACGCAGAGGTTCGCTGCCTGCCCAGCTCTGCCAGCAAGCTGCTCACCGCGCCCCAGCCTGGGCTCAGGTTTGAGGCCATCTGGACCTTTATGGACTGGGTGGTTCCTCCCCACCAAGGCCAGCAGTATCCCTATCTTCCAGTCATACACCGGTGAGGCAGATCCAGACATTATCTCTTGACTTCCCTCAATAGCCCAGAAGAAAGGGCAGGAGGGTGCAAAACCAGCTTGCCAGACTTGAAGCTCTGTTCATCCAAACCACCGAGAGGAGAGCAGGCACAGCACGGGTCCCGCTCTGCCACTCACCCTGACCCTGCTAAAGCCTGTCTGCTGAACAGGGAAAGGCTGCATCGCCACTGTGCAATGCCTCCAGCTGAGTGCTCATCCCTGCTACTGAAGCAGTCCTCAGGAAACACAGCCAGACGGAAGAGCAGAAAGAAAGACAGCACAGAAAAGGAGGCTCAGCACTTACACTGCTTCGTTTCCCCCCATCTCATTCTGGAGGCTTTCGTTTCCTCAGTAATTGTTAGCAAAGAAATAAGCCCATTAACAGGCAGTCACAGATAAAAGGTACTAGAGGAGGAGATGGTCTGACCAGCTAGCTGCTCACCTCAGGAGACACAGGATCAAACACAATTTAGGTACCAAGCCACAGGAGTCTTGCAACCTCAGCCTACCTATCCAGCAAGGAAGGTTTAACACAACATCCTGGGGAGCTGCTCAGCAAGGCACAAAACCCAGCAGCACACACAGCTCTGCTGCCATCGGTCCTGCCACAAGTGCCGGCACAGGAGGACAGTGGTAGGTTGGGATAGGACTGCATCAGCCTGGGAAACCTCTCTCAACCACAGAGTCTACCCTAGAGCAGGTTTTGCAACATGAAGAAACCACCTAGGCTGGAAACACAACAAATTTGTCCACTTTTGACTGAAGTCAACAACTTTTACGTGTGCCAAAACACTGGAAGAGACAGAAATTTAGTGCAGCATAGCAGGAAATGTCAAAACCAAACATTTTCTTGTCCTGCAAAGTGATGAAGAGTCCGCTGCAGCCACAAAGAAAGTCACTAACAGAAAAAGAAGTCTGGGGGTTGGATTTTTAGTGTAATAATCCTCATCCTAGCATAAAATTATTTAAAGAACTTCAACCTATTCAGCTAGCATTTTAGGGTTCCACATATCATTGTGCCAGTCAGAGTTAAATTATCAATGATTTGTGCTCTCAGTTACTTCTGGTGAGCCACAAGGGAGGCAAGGACAGAGGGGCAAAGCACCGTGCCCTAATTTCTGAGTGCTGGGATCTGTTTTGAGGCACAGCGGGAGCAACCAGCCAGCCAACACGATGCTGCACCACAAGCACCCAGAGGGCTGAATGGTGACTTCACTGGCCAGAGAATCAACGCAGCGAGGCCATGGTCCTCTCTACAGCCCCAAGCCCACAGCATTCAGATGTACAGGTAGCCCCACCATAGCCAGTCTGATCAATGGGGACATTTGCACTTCAGTGTTTTCAAGGTCTGGACTTCAGGAAAAAAGTGAGCTGCTGTCTCACAGCTGAAAGGAGAGTCCTTGGCATGACACCCCTTTGCATCTCAGAGCTTCCAACCCTCCTCTGTAATTTCTACAGAAAAACAGCCTACTTGTGCAAAGAACCATCTGAATGGTGCAAACTTGGATAATCTCCCCAGGGGAATCATAAGAGCTGACTGCCTGTTCACCCTGCAGGAAAGGAGGGAAGCGGGGGCATTTGACATTTAGTACCCCAACTCTAGGAAATGACTGAAGAGTTAAAATAAAAATCATTCTTGGGTGGGCAGCACTCCAGCAAGATAAAATATTCAGCACTGTTATGTTCCTGGACACCATATTTCTGACAATAAATTTCATGCCTCATATGCCACGACAGTTATACGATTTCAGTCAATAACCAAACAACAGGTCCACATCCTTTCACAGCAACCCAAGAAAAAGAATATTCATAAGTAAACCTGATGAACCTCAGAGGAGGGTATTTTTATTATTATTTACTGATCTGTCACTTTGATAGTCAGGCCTGAATGGGAAAGAAAAGATCCATTTCTGGCATGGCACCACCCCCAGAGCTTACAGGCTTCACAGACCCATGAGAGCTGGCAGTGGGACCCACCGCCTGCACGGCAGATCCCACAGAGTTCAGAAGGACCAGTTTTGTCTTTGGTGACACTGGAGCACTTTTTCCCCTACTTGTAATATCACTCCCTGTGCACTATGTACCAATGTACCAGAAGCCCCCTCTGCAGTCACTTTGATTGTTCCAGGCTAACATGGCAACCGCTAAGAACATCAACAAGTTTTGGCAAAAAAACAGGCTGTACTTTTCCCATTTATCTTTATCCTTCCTGCCCCACATGGGCCTATTCTTGCTTAATAATAAACCTTCCTGAGAAATCCCAGTGGGTGGGATTCGGTTTCAGCTAGACAGACATTCCAGCTCCCACTGCTCCTCAGGCAGTGGCTTTCCCTTCTCCCCCGAGCCTGCTCGCTCTGTGTCAGGGCGCACCGCAGCTCTGCAGGTTAGTACTGGACTCCCAACACCTGCATCCTAGTTGCAAGCCCGCACAACGATGGAGCAAGGTAAGCTACAAAGTCCAAGTCCTACCCAGGTAGTGCCCTCTACAAGAACGGAAGCACAGACCAAGTCCCAACCTTAAGAATTAGTTGCTACCCTCTAAATTTCAAGTGTGGTTGCAGCAGAATATGGATTTGTATTTTTTTTTTTTTAAATCCATGTGTCAGAGTGGGTTACAGTACCACTTTATGACATTAAACAGCTCCCATACTGCAACCCAGATGAACCTGTGTGCAACTGGTGGGTAAGAGGACTCCCTGCGAGTAGAGCTCCGAGTTCTTCAGGATGAAGCACTCTGTGCTACTTCACATCAGTGAAGCTATGCTAGTGCACCAGAAAGTGATGTGGTCTTTAAGTGTCATTCACTTGATATTGCATTTATGAATCAAACCTGAACTCCACATCCCAAGTTGCCCCCTGGAGATCCACAGGCAGCCTCTCTAGTCCTTTCTAGTGTTTTAATGGCTGCATGTTGGAATTTTCAGTAGCTCATTTCTTGGCTTCAGGTGGTTTATGCATTCATCAGATACAATAATCATGCACAGCTCCCTCCCTTCAACAAGAAGGTTCCACCAAAACAGATTTCAAAAAAACCCTTCAATCCCTCTGTAGTCAGTTTATCTGGTATTAATGCATTAAAGTGATGTACTATGTTCTATCAGAAGAACTAAACACAAAAAGTGGGAAGCTCTCTTACCTGTAATTGACTGACTGGCCAATAGGAGTCAAGTGCTGGCAAATTGGAGGTGTAATTTCTATTTAATTATGGCATTAAAAAAATTACATGATATACCTATTTAACATGCAAAGGAGCAAAATCAAAGCTAATAAGAATAAATTGTAAGAGAGGACATGTACAAAATGTAGTAGCAGTCTTTTTTTTTTTTTTTTTTTTTAAATGTGCTCTGCTAAAGAGTATGCTCGCTGTTGCACCTATGTATTGCCTGGAAAACTTGCACCCCCAGCTCTGATTCTAAGACTCTACCAACATGCAAAACTGCATTGCACAAATGCATGGATACAATGAAAAATATTTGTTAAAATCAAAGCGGTGTATATGCTTTTCATGCTGCACATGAAGTTTGTATCAATCCAGTTGAAGTTCAGCCAAAATGAATGCAAGCAAAGCCCAGATACACCATTCTAGAGCTCAAATATGAACATGAATGAATGGATGAGCTATGAATAGTTTTGCAAGCCTTCAGTTAAAACTCATTTTAAAATGCATTTAAAAGAAAATTGTGCAACTTCTGTATTTAGACAATGGGTTACAACCAACAGTATAAAACATGAACTGTTCTGTTGAAGCCAGTATAGCTACTAGTGTAAGACAGACAGTAAGAGGCCCGTAAATCATTGGCATCCGAGAAGAACGTGCCACTGCCATGAGAAAACACAAATACATCCCATACTTTTTTCTGAGGCAACATATTTATCATGCTAGAGAAGCCTGTTTTCTTCAGATTAACACCATAAACCTAATGTCAAATTATTCAATTTCAAAACAGCTAGTCCGCGCAACAGTGTAGGGAAGGGGAAACATGGTCTTACCGGGAAGAGGAAACAGGGAGTGTCTTAAAGACCTTTTGATCCACAAAAACCTAATAAACCACGACAAAGCCATTCTGTAACTGCCCTAACTCAACCCAGAGCACTGCTGCCAGGAAAAGAGGACATCTGGCTTCTGCAGCCTGCCGTACCCAAGCCCTGGTGGCTAAGTCAGGGAGCAGGAGGCAGATGCCAGCTTCAGTAACAGGGTTTTGTTTTGTGGCACTTGGAAACAGAAGCCAAACAAGAATTAAAGTTTTACCTGCAATGTATATTTAAAAAACACAGAGCTTCCAACGGCTAGTCAAATTATCCTTTGAACATTTCCTGCTTTGTCAACAGAAGTTTAAAATTAAAACACAAATTAAAACTACCTCCAGTCCCTGGAGGAAAGATTAGTTGAATTTAAGATGCATTTAGTATGTCATATAAGGAAAAAAAACCACAAGTACATGCTGAGGTAGTGACATGCAGCCCAAGAGACAGACAGATACAAAACACACTCACTCCCACACATTCAGTAAATGCATCAAATTGACCAGCAACCAGAAGCACATCCAGCCATGACCCTGCACATGGAGTGAGCCAAGAAGGTGACTTATTGCAAGTATTCACACAGGTGATTTCTGCAGATGAGAACATTCATTGCCACAAGGAAGGCAGCACAGGTAAAAGACAGACAGCTTACCCCTCTGAGCTGCTGGACTCCACCAAATATCCTCATCACTCCATCAATCTCCTGCTCCAGCCTCCTGGCCCAGTACTGCATACTGCAAGAGACGGAGAGACAGAGAGAAAGAGAAAGGGAGAGAAGAAAGAAAGAACGAGTCAGAGCCCTGACACTTAGTAGATAAGCAAGGCGATTGAAGGGAGAGGGAGGGAATCAGCGCCCTCAGCTAAGTTAACTGCTCTTTCTGCAGCACCGGGTGCAGGCAGAATACCAAGAATATGCAGCTTTGAGAATTACGGCTGGGGCAGGTTATAAACTTCAAGACTTCAAAATTTATGCACAAGGTGCCACAGAGAGAAAAGAGGGGGAAAAGGTACAACAAAAATCACGGCGTGGGTTTTTTTTCTTCTCCTTTTATAAACAGTTGCAGTAGATAATTATTTAAGCCCAGAGTGCTTAACAAGGTCAAAGTGCTGTGGCGTACAGAAAACAGCTTAGCGTGGCAGAGAGCAAACAGAGCCATGGCAGGACGAGCGGTGCCTGTCCTACTGCGGCAATGGATTACCGCCGCGGCGCAACAGGAGACCTGGGCAGAGCCAGGAGCCCAGCACAGGGCATCGACTGCCCAAGGGCTCAGCTGCTTTGCACCTTCAGCTAAGCCCAGCCTGAGCCAGGCACCGATTCTGCCAGGTCCCCCGTGGGCAGAGCTGCCTCCTGGAGCAGCAGAAAGGGCCAGGGGCTGCCACGTGGCATCTCCTTTGTCCTGACCCGTGTACAGCACAGGAGCTGCCTGCCAGTCCTTCCAACAGGCGCAACACCCTCCGATACATTGAACCACACAGATTTCCAGTTACAGCAATAACATCAAGTTAAAAACAACAACAAAAAACCCCTCTTCTAAATCCACAGAACTTGATAACTCTCCTTCTTTTAATGAGATCTCCTGACTCCAGCTGCTGGCCACACAAATGTCCAATCTCCCATCTGACCTGGAAAAGCAACACTCGATTGCCTCTGCACCGCTTGGCACTGCCTTCGGTGCTTTTTCCACAGCAACACTCATCTCTCAACGCTACACCTGAGAAAGGAGGGAAGGAGCACAAGAAGTAGAAGGTAAGGCCAGCAGCATGGCAAAGCGGTGGTGGGAGGGAGCAGACCAGCTCAGGGGTTTTGCACTTTGGTTAGGTTCACCAAGTGATTTCACTCTTCATGCAAAGAGACATTCCCCAGGCAGCCCCCACCAGCCGCACAGCCACAGCAGAGGCTCTCCTGGAGGTCAAGGAGCAAAGAAACCCAACTAAGAAGCAAGGCCACGGAAGACTCTTGAATTATACAGCATGGCCCAAAAGCTGGGCAGAAATATCAAAGCAGAAAGATGCCTGAGGCGACCGGCAGAACAGAGCTGAAGCATCGCTTGTGAGGGGTAGGGGGACGAACGGAGACGGAGGGACTGGCAGACAGACGCGTGTTACTCACACAGGCAAAATTCATGCCAGTTAATGACACAGAAAGAAGGCTGTGGATGAAAACAAGATTTAATTGCACATGCCAAATCTTCCCAGTTTTCCAGTGTAACTTAAGCCATTTCCCACATTCCTGCAGAAGCAACGCTGCCTCTTCTCCCCTGGGAGCCTGGCTGGGGAGGAGGGCACATCCAGGGAAAGAGATGGGTGAAGACATCTGCAAACTCACCTTTCTGCCAAAGGAGGGAAAGCAAAGCCTTCAGTGAGACTGCCAGTGTAAAGGTAAGAGGCCAGAAACAGAGCAGAGGGGGTTTGGGGGCTGGGTTTGTTTTGGGTTTTTTTCTTTTCCTTTTTCAGTCAAACATTTTATTTGCTATCAAAGGTATATTCAGGTTGTCCAAAGTTACCCATAAATCTTCTGAAGTATTTTCACCAAAAATTATTTCTTTTTACACGAGTCATTCATTTAAAAAAAATGCCGTGAAACACCAAAACTGAATTTTTTTTTTTTAATTATATTTTTCCCCTCCTCCAGTCTGTCCAGTGAACTGAAAAAAAATCATTTATGTGCTCACACTCAGCCACAGGTCCAAGAAACCCTGCTGAGGACTTATGGAGCTGACGCCTTTCTTTAACTTCCAGCTCTGTGCAAGATCCTCAATTTCAGTGACACCTACCTGTGTCAGCTCTCTCCAGGAATACCTACACTACCACAGCAAGGGAAAATTACCACCCATCTTGACCTGTATCCATCAACATTAACAACTGCTCATATCCGCATAAGTGTCACGTATGGCCAAGCCTTCAGAGAGGATTATAGAGGAAGACAGAGGCACCAGTATTACTCTGTTGGTATATGCAAAAGAGACACTGAGCACTCAGTTGGGCTGGGATTTAAAATTAATTTAAATTTAGTCAGCAGGATTTGTTTAAAAAAAAATAATTTTAAACTTATTCCATCCTCTGCCCCAAGTACTACTATTTTAGGGAAAAGCCATTGGATTTTTCATTCATTAGAAAGCCTGCAATTCCCTTTAACTGTGCAGCCTTAGAATACATGGCTCGCAACCTTACAGACCAGCAGTTTCCCAAAAAGTCTAGCTAAGCCTTACAGTACAAGTGTACATACCGCTATTAAAAAAAAAGCATTTTACACTATCAAAAAAGGCAGGAGGTGACTTCTGCATAGCTGACACCAGGTTTCTAGATTAAAAAACATAATAGCAGAAGCAGCTTCTTTTTTTGGTGGAGTATGGCTATATGAGAGCTTTTGCCAGTGGTAGTAAAAATTCTTTTTTCCAACTAGCACATCCCTTACCCACACCACAGCACTGGAAAAAGCCCTTGTGTGTATCTATCTGACCCATTACTATGTCCCTCTAGCCCTAGTAATGTCCATGACCAGAAGTCTTCAGAGTGGGCCACATCCCAGAATGTGGAGGTTTCATCTCAATTGCCGTATGCTGGAATGAAAGCTAGCATTTAAAAAAAATAATAAATACATAAAACCCATTATTATTCTGTCTCAGTTGACCTTCTGCCTCTTGTTTCTATCCCATAGCCACTGCACTTAAAATTTCATGTAAGACAACCATAGCAAGGATGAAGAGGGTGAGGAAACTGATAGCCCATTATGAACATGGAGATTTCTCTTTGAAGCGTGTCTCCTATGGAAGCTGTAAGCAATAAGACATGACAGTCATTGCATTCCCGGCCCATTACTGCACACCTCAGGTGGTGTTACAAGGCTTGAGGAGCAATAACTCCTCAAAACACGCAGCCTGGAGTGCCCTACTGCTCTTGTGAAATGGCATTTACAAATAAAGCATAAAGAAAACAGGTGATGCACCGACTGGGAAGCCACCAGCATGGACATAGCGCTGCTCACAAAGCCACCAGGCTCCCTTTATGAGCCATGCGCGCAGTCTCCCCCTTAAACCGAGTACCACTTTAGTGTCCTCTGTAGTGAATTAACACGGGCAAGAAGAAAACCTTTGAGCTCAAGTGTCTGTGAATACACTCGGTAGCTCTGTACCTACAGGAACCGCGTGCAAGGAGCCTGGCAGCCCCGCTGTCCCGTCCCTTCTTTAGCAGGGACATGCACAGCACATCCCAGTGATTCCCCATCATCTCAGCTGGCTCTGCCTTTGCTGGGGAGTCTCCATAGGACTCTTCCAACCCAACAACTCTACAACTATTGCACACACAAGCATGATCACGCACATTAAAAATCTCTTGCATTGCAAAAAATGGTTTTGTTTCCTTCCCCTGTATATTTTACAGCCTCCCATGCAACATTTAACAAGGGGCACAAGTAATTTTTGAAAACACAACACCATTTATCACTGCCTCTCCAAAGAAAACTACAAAAACGCTAATTGATTTCATAATTTGCATATTTGATTTTTCTTAAAGATGAGATAAAGTAGGCTTAAAAAAAAAAGCAGCAGAGCTTCAAAAGTATTTACCATGACAAGCAGCACATCAGGAGGCAAATCACTGCTGTTGCAGTTGGGGCCAGGAAGCAAATCATCCCGCCTCTCCCACTCCTGCTCAGCGGGCGCCTGTGCCTTGCCACCGGTCACAGCAACCCTTACTTAGGGTTAGGGCATGTTTCATGCTTTAGGTCACCCAAGCAGTTGCAGAGACTTCTCTGCATGTCCACATTGGTTTGTGAGACTACACCACTGCTCCAGCTGCGCAACTTTGGAAGAAAATGAGAATTGCCTGGAAAGAGAAAAGACGAGCTGTCCTTGGCCCATGTCCTCCCACACTTGCGCACACGGCAGGTGGCAGCCTGGAGTCCTGGTCTTCTGTACAGAAGCTGAAAGCATTCGCAGACAAGGCACCAGTGCAAGCCATGCACTGACAGCCTGTGGCCAGCAGCAAGAGGACGTGCCACTGCAGCTCAGCCCAGGGTCACTCTGCCCCTTGGTGGCTCAGGGTACATGGGACAGACCTTCCATGGGCTGCAGTCACACCTCTTCACGCAAAACCTAGGGGTGGGTAAGGCACTTACATGAACTGCTAACGAATATAAGCCTCATCACAAGCAGCCTCTCATGAAAGCACAGGGCAAGAAGTAAGAGGAAAGGAAATTAGTTTTCTGCTTGAGGACACTTTTTTTTTTTTAAAGCAGCCTTAGGAGAGTGCTTGTTTGGCTACAAGCAAGAGGGAATGTTAAAAAAAAAAATAGGAGACTTGGTCCTGTTCTCTTGCTGCCTTCCTGGCCCAAAAAGTAAGAGAAATATTCACATAAACGTGAAAGGACTAGAGGAAAAATTACTTGCTAAGTAGATATACTGCCCCAAAGCTTATTGGGTTCTACACAGAGAGTGTTCTGTACAAGTGTCTACACTTCACGCAGTGTGTACAGCCAAGAATGCTTCACTCTGATTCATACGCTTTGGTTCAGTGCCCAAATATTGCTATTTAATAAGGTTATTAATTACTGTGTTGTCTAATTTTTGCTGTGCAGGAACTTCTTATAATTGGCTTATTCCTTCAAGATGCTTAATCCTTTAACTGTAATAGCATGTGTGTCAGCGCGCACGCGTGCATGCGTACCCTCATGCCCCCTCTGAGTTTTCTTAATTTCTTACATACTTAGGCTGTAATACCCCACATGAGCCAATA